TACCAAAATATTACGACTCTACGACAAATTTAATTTTAAAAATTCCTCAAAGTTTGCAAAAATTAGTATCGTTTTTTGGCATTTGTCAAAATTAGACTTTTCATCGACGTTTGCTCAAAAACGTCTGAACCGATTTCAGAAATTTAAAAGCCGTTGGATGTATCTCGATGAGGACTATCGTTTCTCACCAATCTTCCGAGCCGTTTCTTTTAATTTGGAAGAAAGTGTTAAGCTTTTTGTCTACATTTAAGCTCATACTACCAAATCGATTTTAAAAATCAAAAACTGTTCGAAAGATATTAGTTGGGAATGATACTAATTCGTTTTAGGTGAAAATCTACCGAGCCGTTTTATTGTTTATCATTGTTGAAAAAAAAATTTAAGCCGATTTTTATGGATTTTTTTTGGCGATATATATCATGGCTTTATAGAAACTTACTGAAATATTACGGCCTTAACAAGTTTAATTTTAAAAATTATCAAAGTTTGAAAATTGAATAGTTGTTGTGACGTTCGATAAAATTAAAATTAGGCGATTTAGCTTGTTTAACGATAGAGTACTGGTCCTTAATGAACATACTGAACCATTGAAGTTCTACGGAACTAGTTTCAATTAGAGAATTGTTATTTTTGAAAATTTGCTTTTAGAAAATAATCCGTGTTTTAACGTGTTCGTTCGTTTTCAATTATGTGTAATGGATCGACTCGGAATACTTTTAATCACTCATGAATTAATTTATTTTGATTAAGTCGATTATTTACACATATCGGAAGTTCATGTAACTTGCCTCAAGGCAAAATACCAATACCAACTAGTTATATACAGAATTGTAAGCAAAAAAAACAGCAAATTTTCTGTAGTCAAATTATACAATGCCAGTCGTATGTCCAGTCAGAATGCCAAAGCCTATATATATATATATATATATATATATATATATATATATAATACATGTTACACTCGTATGAACGTAAAACATAAATTAATTTACAAATAAATATATTATCAAATTATAATTCGTTAGTATCTCCGTGTAAGCCCAAAGGATGTGCCCTGCGTTGGCAACCTAGTAGGGAATGATATACGGTTTACAAGGATTTTATGTCCCTGATAATTCGGTTTGAGACGCTCTGGGCCGAAAATGAAATATTATACAGCAATTCACGATAGAAATTCAACTATGACTATAAACACGTTAGAAATAGAATGGTGCATGGCATCGTGCCTTAAGGCAATTGCTGCTACTTTCCGTATAGAAAACTAAAATATT